AGATAGGAGTCTCACGGTCTCTCCTGCCCGGGCTGGCTTTGAACCGCGATCCTCAGATCTCAGCCTCCTGAGTAGCTAGGATGACAGGCGTGAGCCACCAGCGCCCACTCCTAGAGATTCTTATATGGAGGTAATATTTGGGGCAAAGGTAGCTGCCTGAATCAGGAGGCAGCAGGGACCACAGGGGCATCGTACTGTCCTGGAGCTCCCTGTCAGGTAAGGAGGGGCAGACAGGGACAGAGCTGGCTGGCGGCCAGTGTTTGCACAGACAGGCATGGCGGGAGGGACGGTGTGGCAGCTGGGGCACAGATGAGTAGGGGGACACCCTCTACAGGCACACGCCAAGGGCAGTACGAACGTGACAGCAAGTGCCGGGTACACAGATCCTGGCCGTCCACAGGACAGACCGCTCAGCCGGAAGGACGCAGCCATACCACACACACATGGAGCCCACTGGCAGTCATGCTGAATTCTCTCTGCAGTGGGGATCTCCGCAGGGCCACACCCAGTCCACAGGAACAACTGCCTCACCGCCCAGCGCATGCCTCAGTGTGGAAGATGACCGAAACAGCAGGGAGCCAGGCACAGCAAGAGCCCCACATCCCCCAATGCTTCTGCTGCTAGAAATCTACCCTCTTAATACTGCTCTTTGGAGGGGGTTCTGCCTCATATGCCAAGTCAAGCAAGCCTAGAACAAGAACATGCTACATCACGTAGGCCAGGCTGGCCCTCTGCCACACTCAAGGCCAGGTGTCTGAGACTAGAAGGCCGCCCGCCGCCAGGGGACAGGCCCTTGTGCTCACCAGTGGGAGATGACAGGGCAAGGAGAGTGACGATGCAAACTTTAAGATGTAGGACACTTTGTGTGGGCAAGTGACGCCAGGACCACGTTCTGGGAGCACTAAAGTCCCCGAGCTGCCTGTGTGTGGGGTGGGGGGGCTGCGTGGCCAGGGCTGATTCTGTGCAGCAGTGAAAAGGCAGTAGCGAGGTACGGTGAGTGAGCTGCCTGAAACAAACGAGGCCCCGCGACCCAGCACGCAGGCACGGCAGTCCACAAGCCCACCCTGGTGGGGCTGCGGAGGGCAAGAGGGACTCCAGTACGGCCTGAGACTGAGAGCTCGCCCAGAGCTGGGCTGTGGGCAGCAAGGTTGGGCTCAAGGCTCCAGGGGCAAGGCTGAGGACTCGGGGCCTTGTGGCCCGGGCTTTGCTGTGTTCAGAGGCCCCGGGAAGATGGACTCCACACAAACAGAAGGGTCTAGGAACTGCAAGGACTCTGTCTACTCTTTCAAGGAGAGGCTCTGGTGAAGTGCTGCTTAGGTGGAGTGAATTTGGGGGACAAGTGGCTTCTAAGATGCGGCCGTACTTATAACTTAGTGCTGATGATTGCAAGACTGGAGACCTTGAGGAGATGAAGCTGAGTTATGAGACTCCCCCTCAAACAAACTATTAAAAAATAAAGATCTAGGCAGGGAGACATGTCTTCCCGAGCGCTTACTGCCACAGAACCACGTGGGGAGGACGCTTGTGTTTACCTAGCAGGTCGGCCCCTTCGTCCACATCCCCGATGGCCTCGGACCCCGCCGTGGACAGCTCGTGGTACAGGGAGTCAGTGTTGATGCCAAAAGCCTTGTTCACAATGCCCTGGGTGGGGCTGTGGAGACAGGAAGAAAGCGCCGTCACAGGCAGCATCCGCGGAGGCCGCGTGCTGAAGGGCTGTGTCCCCGGCCTGAGGTGCCCTTGGAGGTGGTGTAGCTTTTAGGGTGTGAGGCCTACTAGAGGAAGTGAACTCTTTGGGAGTGCTTTTGAGGGGCAGTGGGACCTCAGCCTCTTATTTCCTGGCCTGCAGGAGGTAAGCTACCTCCTCTGCCATATGCTTCCCCGGGTGATGTGCTGTGCTGCCACAGGCCAAAGGTTCAGGGTCAACAACTGACTTTTGAACTTGTGACACTGAGCCCACTTCAACCTGCATTACCCCAGCGATACTGTCACAGCTGACAGACAGCTGACCACCCCCCACTCTGCAGGAACAGGCATGAGCGTGAGGCAGCAGCTCACCAAAGGGACCAACTCAGAGGACAAGCAGCCCCAGCCCAGGGCCCGCCTGAGGAAGTACCTGCTTCCTGTGCGGTCCAGGCGGGTCTCAGGACACATATCCAGCTCTGGGGTGGAGTCAATAATGTCCTGAACATCAGACCACTCGTCACTGCTGCCCATGCCTGGTGGAGTACAGAGAAGCTGGGGTCAGAGGACAGCCTGCCAACCCTGGCCCTGCTCACAGAGCTCCTCCGGACAGGTGTCTGGAGACCCTAGCACTGTGCACAGAGGGCCCAGAACCCGAGACCAGGACCCAGCAGATCATCACCTTGTGGTTGTATCTGAGGAAACCAAATATTCCTACGTTCTTTTTTCTCTTATTACAGGAGGACTGAATGTGCAGTATGAGTCTCCACAAGAGGTAACTGGCAGGTACTAATCCAACCGGCATGGGGCACACGGTTGGGCCCCGTGAGGATGCAGAAAGAGGCAGTCACCAGCAGGCCTCGTAAGGGGGCTGAGGAGCCGGCCATGCCCACACATCACATGGGATGAGAAGACAAAGTTCCGCTGTCAAAGCCACCTCACCTGTGGTCTTTGTTGTGGAAGTGTGGGCTCACGGTTCTAACTGTTCAAACTAAAATCCCATGGGGAAGACAGCTCCCTGGGCCTGGGCGAGGCAGGCAGGCGGCGGGCCGGCTGCATACCTATGCTGACATTGCGCATCTCCTGGGTGACCTGGACCTCCATGTTGCGGCTGTTGCGCTTCTCCCGCGCCCGCTTGTTGTTCTTTGTGCCACCGCCGAACTCCCCCAGCGGCTGCAGGCTCTCGTTGAGCGGTGTGACTGCAGCAGAGGGTACGGAGGACGTGGGCGTGTTGGACTTGGTGCCTGTGGTGCTGGGTGTGGCAGCGGCTGAGGACTGTCCGGACTCAGACATCTCATCGTTTGGACCCTAGGGCCAGACACAGGGAGGGGGAGGCCTGTCACGGCAGGTCGTGGTGCTGGAGGCTGCTTGTAACTCTGTGGCCACAGGCTCGCGGG